ATATATATATATATATATATATATATATAATATTTGTTTACTTATTTTAATATAACAAATAGCAACGTTATAACTATTTTTTATAAATTTAGTAAAATAGTTAAAAGCCAAGCATTGGTCCCAGCTTTTTGAAGTAATTGTGAAAATGTTAAGTCGATGTAAGTACACTTCACCAATTTTGAAATTAACCTACTACAGAAATATTGTTTCAAGCTTCAACGTGTTTTAAGGTAAGGATCACATCTATTAAGATCAAGAGATGAAAATGTTCAAACAAAATAGTGTTCGCAGTAGTGAACGCACTCAAGAAACCTCTCGAATCTAGACGAAAAAACTCAAATTACTTTCTGTATTATGAAAATTAACTTTCTTAGAGCAAACATAAAACATCGATAAAACCAAGGAAATTTGCTGTATTAGAAAGTTACTTTTAGACAAGACACGTTGGCATATAGAAACTCTGAGCAGAACTGGCTGTTAACAGCTGTAAATATTTGGAAGCAGCTGTTCGACACCTGAATTTAAAATTTTAGTATTTATGGTCAAAAGGAAATTGAAGGAGTATTTTGTTTGGTAGCGTAGCTAGAAAAGAGCTATTTCCGACGGAGAACGATATATTTGTATATATAATTATTTAATTCATTTATTTAGACAGATTTATATCTGTAAATATCACATTTCTATGAGTTGTTTCTCACGTCAATTTCTACACCTTTTTCAGTCGGTCGGATTATTTCTCCCCCAAGTTTTCCAATTTGTAGCGCTCGAGATCTGATTGTAAAAGTAAAAAGGCAACCGCGGAAAGTTAGCTAGCAGAAAGGTTAGACCGTTCTGAAGTGCAAGAGGAAAATCAATTTTTTGATACATGATCATCTTTAGAAAAACTTTTTATTTTGCCTGTTCGACACGGATTTCCGTAACTTCAACTTCACGTAGAAGCTTGTCTATGCAGAATCAGAAAGATATATTAACAAGCTATATAAAAGATTAGGGTAAAAACTGAGATTGAACAAGTTTTTCCTGAAAAACTCACGCCTTAAATTTTTTGATAAAAATGTCTTGTTAAAAGTATATTGCTTCTATAAAGTACCAAATCATGAGGCGGTATTTTTACGGTTGCACGATTTACGATGCAATCAGCGAAACCAAACTGCAGAAAATCTTCGCTTCATACGGCATTCTGGTATTTTTGCAGAAAACAACGTTACTGTTTTAAAAGAAATATAGTTGTTCAGAAGCATGCTTTAGCTTAACTCGTCTACTCACAGGTATTCGAGAGGAAATTACTCGTGGCTGAGTGATTTCAAAGAAACTTTTTGAAATATCATTATTATGGTTACTTTTTAGAATTTGCTTGATCACTAAACTCTTCCAGCCTCAATATTCAGGGCTCATTTCTTGCCGTTCTTAGCGAATACTGTTTCTCTAGCATGCTTCCAACACTGTATGGCGTGATGCAACAGAATTTTCGAGTGCTTTCGGTTGATAGCCTTGCATAAAGAGTTCCGGTGAAATTTTATTTTTTTCATAATTTCTCAGCATGTGAAAACCTTTAATGTTACTTTCAAGCCGTCCCGTACTTAGCTTTAAAGTATTTGCAGTTAAGATCCAACCTAAAGGTTTCTTATCGAGAATGGCTCTCGCCCGTTGTCTACTTGTTGCTCTTCCAGAGCTGTTGCGAGCGTCGCTTTTCTTCCTCCTTTCGCGAAAAAGCCCTGTTCTTTTGCGGCGCCCAGGTCTGTAAGGCGGAAAACAAAATCTAAAATATTCTTAAGACTTTGACGTGCACACAATCCTGGAAAAACTAGGTAGTGCTCTTGAAGCTGCATTTCATTTCAAGAAAAACTAAAAAGTAGTATGGAAGAGAATTCAGGGGTACTCTATTACAGGTTAGGCATTTTCTCTCTAATACAGAACAACAATAACAATAACACTAATAATGGCAAAGACAGTGACAATAATGATAATAACAATAATAATAACAACAATAATAGTAGTAATAATGATAATAATAATAACAAGAATGACAATAACGACAGTATAATGATAATAATAGGAACAATAATAATAATAATAGGGTATTAGTTATTGGTATTACTGTTATTATAATATCATTGATATAATAATAATAATAATAATAATAATAATAATAATAATGGTATTAGTTATTGGTATTACTGTTATTATAATATCATTGATAATAATAATAATAATAATAATAATAATAATAATAATAATGGCAATAATAACGTGAATGATATTGACAACAATAATAATTTTAGTAATAATAATAATAATAATAATATTAACATTGGCTTTAATAATAATAATAATAATAATGACAATAATATATATATATAT